AGAGCTTCACTGAGTGAGAAGTAGTGGACCTCAGCAGACAGTTAGGTTTCACTTTCACTTTCACTCATTCTGCCGAGAGCCTGCAGGAGTCATGGGTGGGATGTGTGAGGTGGGGAGGTGTGCTCCGTGATGAGGAAGTTCGGCTTAAAGACACATCCCAGAGGTGTTTCTGGTCCCCACCTGTCGTTTTGCTCCTCAGCATGGCTTCCTAAAAACGCTGCAGGATTTCTCAAACATGCATGAATGAGTCAAAGCAAGGCTTTGGGCATGTTTTTTTTTTATGACAGTATAATATTATAACATGATATAAAACTCAAAAAAGTTGATTTTACATGATATTGCCCCTTTAACATTACATCTGTAAAGGTGACAGAGTTAGTCATTTTTTAGCTCAGTTGGTTGTGGCAGCCAACTAAAACTAGGTTGGCTTCAAAAGTTAACATTCATAAAGATTCATGCAAAGATTAATTTCTGCAAGTTTGATTAGGATTAGACAACAGAAAAATAGAGCCACACAAGATATATTTTTTAATTACGAGAATAAAGTTGTAATACTAAGAGAAAAGTCCCAACATGACATCCATTTTACTACTGCTACTGTTGACAGCCTTCAATGCATGTCACTGAAGTTGTCTGCTTACTTCTGGGTCACTGTTAAAGCCCCACATACTGTGTGCAGTCCATGAGCCGTGCGGTGTCCACGCATGATGTCTGCAGACATTTTTACACTTCATACTCGAGCGTACTGATCGCCTGACAAATTCCTAATTTTTTTGCAATTTCAATCATGGCGTCACGAACAAGGAAGAGAGTTTGCATTTGAGCTTTAAATGACAAAAGAAAAAAAAACTTACCTTACCCAGGGTCTGAGCTATTTCCTCCCACTGTGCAAGTCCTTATGTTAGCCGAGCAGTTTATTGTGCGACAGCGCGGACGTAAAAAAATGATCTCTGCGTGGACATGTCTGGCGGACATCCACTTCGAGTCTGCATTGAGTCCACCGATGTCTAATCCACCTAGAGTCCACGCGGACCCCCGCTGAGTGAAGTACGCCCGAGTACGTGGGGGCCTTTAGCCTGAGGTGGACAGAGTACCCAAAAACTGTGCTCAAATAAAACTGGGTTTCTGTGGGGTAGTAAAAGGTAGTAAAT